CCGGTTTTCCATTGCTGGAACCATTTTTTTAACCATATGTTTCTTTCTCATTCTATCAGCAAAAATCTTCCCCACTCACTGAGGGCTATTTCTTAAATTCCTGAAGTTCTTGACGCGCATACCATTCGCCAGATGCAGCCTAAATCACTTCCCCAACACCCACCTTCTGACCATGATTAGATCCTCGCGTAGTTTGTCATATGTCTCATTGATCCCTTGAGGCTTTACAGCGCAATTGGCGCATATGACGGTGGGGGCCTTGTCGAAGTAGGACCAGGAATCGTGGTCATTGGAGTCGGCGTCGCAGTCGCATCGTTGGAAGCAGAGGATAGAGGGGTGCAGACAGTGTGGATTGTATGCGTAGATAAAGTAGCACATCGTAATAATTTAAAGGCGAAGGTGTGCATATTATACCGACTGCGTATTCGCAGGGGAGCGGGTGGTGGTACTGAGCAGATACGTTGGGGCCGGGATAAGTTGTAGAGGTAGAAGTTTTGTCTGGGCTAGAGAGGATGTTGCCAGGGAGTAGCGATAGATAGCGTTGTGTTGGGTGTGAAGAATGTCTATGGGTGTACGTGTAGATGTTGCTGTCGGGGTACATACGTCTGGCCAGGTCAAGCATCCTCGTTATGATAGTGACGATCCACGCTCGTTCCTGCTCTTCTTGAAGAAAACTGAGGAGAAAACAGGTAAAGAAAAAAATCATAGAAAGACATTGGACCGCCATTGAGTAGAGGGCAGGGGAGTTTGTACTATTGGTACAATGCTTTCCCATCATTTTTCAATTTTCTTTACAATCCCGACGACCCCCTTTACCAACCCTCTATCTGGAAATCAAACGTCCTATCCCCCTCTCCCTTCTTGATCGGTACTGCATCTCTGTCATAGAGCGTCCTCTCTGTATACTTCACTTTCCCCTCTTTATCCACCAGAATAATTATCTGTTTCTGTGTGCCGTAGCACCCTGCCAAAGCATCAACAGCCTTATGCTTGACCACATCCCCAATTTCGTGAGCCGGCATCTTGTTCTCTTCCAGAGCATCTCTTCCAATAGATGGGACAAAAACACTATGTCTCAGCTGGTTCAGATACATGTCCCACTCCTCGTTCTCTTTCTGACGGGGCATTGTATCAGTGCTTAGGACGCCCAACAGTCTCTGTATCAGCTGTTCCTGGCTCTCGTTCGCCTCTACGCTCTTCTTGATTGCCTCTTTCGTCCACTTCTCTCCATTCACAACTTTAGGCCACGACCGATCGCCATACGCCGCATTGCTGAGAGCATGCGTCTCCTTCGGCTCCCTGAAGATAACGATTGCGGCCTCAGCGTCCGGTGTTCTATTCGAAATAATCGCAAGACCCTTCTTCGCCGCCTCTTCCTTGACCACATCCTGTATCAATCCAACCACGACACTGAATCCACCAACCCCCTTGACACCTTCTTCATCCACAAGTCTCTTCGCAAACTGTTCCCGCGTCTCATTTTGGGCAGGATCGGACAACAACCACGCATTAGGAATGAGACCTCTACTCCTCGCACCTTCGATGATGCTCTCGTCCTCTTCGCGGTAGTTGGTCAGCACGGCGATTCGACCTTGTCTAGTCATGCCAAGCCAGGTCCCGTGAACGGGTCGGTGGAGATCATAGCCGCCCAGAACTTGGGTAGCAGGTGCGGGCCACCATGTTGCTTCTTGAGTTGGGCGGTGGAGATATTCCTAACACCTTTGTTAATTTCAATTGACTGCAGAGTGCAGGGAAGAGGGAAAGTTACATCTCGGTTGTTGAGGAGAATAAATGGGTACTGAGGATGCTCAGTTGTTATAATGGCGATACACATGCCTTTGACCTACAGGTGAAGACGCCTGTGTAATTTTTGCCTTGGTCAATTGAACTGGGGGAGAGGCGGTCGACGAAGGGTGTAGGGTAGTCAAAGTGTGGAGATGCAGCTGGAGCACAGAAGCCACAGATGTATGAATGCTCGGTCCCTGGCTCGGGAAAGTACGGGTAACGCTGGCAGTAGGCAGTGCTTTGACAAAGCGGTGTGATGGACGAACAGCAAGCCCAAGCTCTTACCTATATACGTGGTTCCAGCACGGTCCCGCATACGGCTGCCATGTGCGATGCAGTGTCACACTGTGAATGGGGTGAGTGTGAACAAGGAGCTGGTGACGGGCAAATATTGAGCTCACGCGACCGGCTACTGCATTTTTGTGCGTCTAGAACCACTATTTCGAGCGCATCAAAGGCAAAGACCCAGGGATCGAGGCTGATGGTCGCACTGCACGGCGGAATTGTGTCGTTCCTGCAGCTTTGCCTCCTGAAATCGCCGTCCGGCCTCGTATCCGTCGCCATCACGTGCCAGCCTCGGCTATTTTCGCAACGCCCAGGAATCCCTGACCCCAACCCAAACGCGTCACGGCACATCGTCCAAGCTGTTCACTTCGATCGCACGTCAGCCCCACGTGTCTCGGCCATCCCCTCACCACCCCTCTACACATCTACAGACTCCGCGCGACCCCAGCATGGCAAACTTCGCGCCCTACCAGGACTCGCCCGAATTCCAACGCGCCCTCTCTCCTCCGCCTACGACATCGCCTCCCCTCCGCTCGCCCCGCGCCTCGCTCGACCGCACGCGCAATATCGGCACCACATCAGTCACATCTTCTTCACCTGCATCGTACCAGCGCAGCGACTACTTCCCGAACGGGCAGGAGAGCGAAGAGCGCACGCCATGGACAGCACCCGCGGCCTCGGGGTTTGGAGGAGGATTCGGCGGTGCGAGGGAAGACGTGGATATGTTTGAGACGCGGCTGGGCTTGAGGATGGACTACGAGGCCTGCTTGGCTTATCTACTACTACCACCGGCGGGCGGTGTGCTGCTTCTGATGTTGGAGCACAGGAGTGACTACGTGAGGTAGGGGACCCACTCTCCTGACAATTTCAAAGTCCATGCGGACAGGAATGAGGAACGAGGAACCACCGCTGACATGATGGGATAGGTTTCATGCCTGGCAGTCGAGCCTGCTCTTCGCATTCGTCTTTGTCATTCACATCATCTTCTCGTGGTCGAGCATAATATCATGGCTGCTGTTTGTTTGCGATTTGGGGTTGATTGGGTTTCTGACTTGGCATGCGTACAAAGATGGTATGTTACACTTGATCCAACATTCAAGGATATTTTTGACTAATCTGGTCACATAGCCGAAACCCTCGACCGATATGAAGTACCCTTCTTTGGGCCTCTGGCTAGCTCCATTCTCGATGATGAGTAGAGCTGCCCTGCGTAGAATTTGGTGGTTGTCAGAAGAGAATTGCATTTACGGCGTTTACAGGCATATTCAGGCGCATTTCCATAACTGTGTTTTCCCCGGAAGGCCTCCAAGCGGGAAATAGCACTCGGCTTCCATTACGATTCCTATTCGAATACTACCACTTGTAATTAGATCTGTATTATCTTATAACGAAGAGTCAAGTTCAGACTCTCAAACGCAGGACCTCGATATGAGACTTTCAAGCCCCAAATCTCTCCTGTGCCAAACTCTTTAAGAACTCCATCGTCTTGGCTTCTTTCTCCCTTCTCCCTCTCAGTCTTTCCTCAAATTCTGCCTCCTTTGCCCTAGCAACCTCTTCCCTCCTAATCTCCCGCTCAGACTTCTTCCGATCATCTTCCATCTTCCGTCTCTTCAGCCCATCAATACCACCATCGTCTTCCCCCATGAGATCGGCATCCCGCACCTCTACATCCCCACTCTCCTTCGCATCCCTAAATCCTTGCAAAGCTGTCGTGGTCTCCCGTCGTTTCTCCAACTGGCGCTCTCGAGACCCGGGATCGGCACGAGGAACAAGCTCTTCCAGTCGCTCTTTTTGCTCTTTGCGATCAACCTTGCGTTCGTGCCGGACGTCATCTGCATATTCTGACCGATCGCGTGCACGGTCTTCGTCTCGGAGTTCGTTGCGCAATGCAAGATCATCATGGCGAGGTATCGTAGGCCCTGAGCGTCCGAATCGTCCTGTGCGCCCTGCCTGTCCATCTGTGGGTGGCGCGGGACCAATCTCATCGTCGCTCGAGGCATTTCCTGCCTCTTCAGTGCGCGTGCTTGTTTCCTTTGGCTTCGGCGATCGTGCTTGAAAGGACGCGACAGTATTTTTCGCCGTCTCGAGCATAGACGGATCATACCAGCTCCGAGCTAGTTCACCAGTGTTCCTGACCTGTTAGCCGCTTCATTTCCAAAAGCACAGTGATGCACAGAATATGTGGTACTCACCATCTATTCACAAAGCTCTTCCATCGCCCCCTAACCTCGCGCTCATCAAGTTCGTCGATGTTCAGCTGCTTCTGTATATCCAGATAGGATACAAACAAGGGCTTATACTCTCCCAACTGGCTCTTCGACAGTCTATGAGCATTGTATGGGAGGGTCACGGCGCGAGGTTTAGGAGAGCGTGTGCGGTGGTGCTTATGTCGATGGGAATGCTCTGCACGTGGGGAACGAGACCGTGATCGTACACGACGAGGGTGTCGGTCTGAGTGGTGTTTCGATTCGCGATGAGGCATCGGAGACCTTGATCGGCTCCTGGGGGGGCGAGGCATGGCTGAAGTGGAATGGTGAGGAAGGTGCTGCGGAGGTTGGCTTTTGATGTCGGCGAGTTTGGATTCTTATTGGTCCGCTGAAGGAGGTTTCTCTGGCTTGGGTTGTGAAATTCGTGACGTGTGCTTGGAACATAAGATTACAGTTTCCAAGCTTCAGATACTCGATGCTCAAGAAACTGTTGAAAATATGGTAGTGATACGACAAGAAGTCTCATCGTCCATCTCAAGGGCTATCACGAGTTCTGGAGTGAAGCTCTTTGCCAAGGCTCACTAGCTTCGGCAAGGAAAGCACAGTCCATTGTTCCCCGCCAGAAGAAAGTCCAAAAAGAAGAGGCAACACCACAAAACGGAACGGAGGAGGTTCGAACGAAACCACCTACAGCTCTGCGCCGTGTCCGCATGCAAAAAGAACTGGCGGTGCCGTGAATCGAACACGGGCTGGCGCGGCCACAACGCGACGTCATACCACTAGACCACACCACCTCGACAACTGATTGTGTCGAACTTCAACGCATAGCTGACTTACATAGACACGCGAACCTACGGTGGGATAAAAGCCCAGTGTGAACATTCCCATACAACTTCAAGTTGGTGGGGGGCAACATTCATTTGCCCAAAGCTACCCCACCCCACCTGAGTGGCTGGTACGTGGACTTAAACGAGGGCTGAACTATCGTAAGTCCACAACGAGAACGTCAAATATTTCCGGATTGACAACAATCAAGCAAGACGATCTCGGGGCTGGGGGAGATGGAGGATGTGAGTAACGAGTTGACGCCTCGCCGGCAGTCAAGACATACAAAGAAGGTTTCTTATGCACTGTATGATCCAGACGTTGAGGAGGCGCTACGAGGCAGTGGATCCGAAGTGGAAGATGAAGTAGAGAAGGAATTCTCGCCTGCACCAGAAGAACTGGAAGATGCCGAGCTTTATGATCGAAATCGAGAGGTTGATGATAGAGAATCCGACTCGCCGCCTTCGATTGAGGAGGATGTCAGAGATGAGGACGAAGGTATGATTATATACCTCCGCTCATGAAGAGTCAATGGCTGATCTAGAAAAATACAGGGACTTTCCCCAAAGGACCTCTAACGTCGCGGAAACGAGCCAAAAAGGCCAAAGTGCAAGAGATCGGCCTTGGAGTAGCGTTTGTTCGAGCTCCAGGAACCCAAGTACATTCTAGAGGTATCGTCGAGAAGCCCCACAATGCTCGAGCTAAAGAAGAAGGTGTTGGAGTTCGCATCGGCCAGCAGAAGCGAATCGAAGCGTTGTTTGGGCCCAATCACATCGAGTTCAAGCCAGTATTCCAGACTCGAGACACCTGGGAGGATCAAGACGCATTGCCAAGCCGACAGGACGGAAACCTGAGGGTATCCTACTACGTCAATAAGGAGGCAATGGAGAAGGAGTTTATGCGTGTTAAAGAATCAAACATCTTCACTTACTTCGCAAAAGGACAAGAAACTGCACTCATCGATCACGAACAAGCAAAGAAGTACTTGCGAACAGCCGGTCCAGAAAAGTTATCTATGCTAGGAGGGAATTCCCAGGATCCTGAACTGCTCGCAATGGAGAAGGGGCGGTACATAGACATTACCAAACGTTTCGAAGACGACAAACATCGTCGCGGCTGGATATTCAATCTAGGTGCACATATCCAAGAAACCCAATGGGCGCCAAATGAAGAAGGCAACACGCAGTTCCTTGCCGTTGCTGTCAAACAGATAAATCCCGACGGATATCAACACCCGCCTCTCGCGCACCCCAAAGCCCCCGCCTTCACAGCAACAAAAGGCTTCCCTGCATCAATACAGATTTGGGCATTCCGATCCACGGATCAAGGAGCTTTAGATACGATAGTGCCCCCACAATTGAAGCTGGTTATATGCACGGAGTGGGGAGCCCCAAAGCAGTTTCGATGGTGTCCGGTCCCACTAGCAGATATCGAACCCCTGGAAGGAGAAAACACAATCTACGTTGGTCTGCTTGCTGGTATCTGGTCTGATGGCCGAATACGAATTCTTGATGTTTCTTATCAGGGTGATGCAACAGAAACACAGTACGTTAAATACTCCAAAGCAGCTTTTGAAGCTACGTTCTCGGATGCCATCCCGACCACTCTGAACTGGCTCTCTGCATCTTCAATTGCGGTCGGCACCACATCAGGCGCTCTAGCAATTTGGAATCTTCTACACAAATCAGCCTTCCCTAGTCCAGATTCTAGCCTACAGAGTCACAATCCTCGGCCATGGTTCTACAGAACTGTCATCGACAACTACATTTTGACTATAAACTCGGGATACCCTTCGCGACCAAATTATGTTTCCATCTCGTCCACAGACGGCTTCTCGCGCATGATGGACCTTCGATCTGCTACTCTCGATACCGTGGTTGGAAACAAAGGCCGCAACTTCGTGACTACGCAAGCCTGGCATGAACATACGCAATCTTTCCTCTTACCCGATGAGATGTACCTGCTTCGCAATGCTTCGGTGCGTCGGTACTACTCAAACGTGTACTCGGGCCGCATGGATAGCACCATCACTAAAGTTGTATCAAGCCCCGTGCATCCAGGAATCCTCATCGGGAGTGCTGAGGGTTTGGTCATGATCGGAAACCCAGTCATGCGGGTGCTGAATTCTAAGGAGGATGTTTGGCAGTTGCCTTGGTTTTCTCACGAGTGGAGAGGGCCTCTGAAAGAGTTGCCAGTCCTGCCGAAAGAGGTTGATCTGGATGGGAATGACGATATGGAAGATGTGCATCCAACTACGCTTGAGCCAGGTAATGGCACGCATAGGAAGACAAAATCACTGGACGAAGCCAGGTCGACCTACGATGAACCACTTGCCTGTTTCCGTGAGGCTTTGGTCCCCAAACAGGTCAATCTTCACATCAAGTCAGGCCGCTTTCCTGAATCTGATTTCGAGGCAAAGCGCTTGACTACCTATGAGGAGGCCTCGGCCATCACAGCCCTGGCGTGGAACCCGAATCTTAAGTATGGAACGTGGGCGGTGGCGGGGATGGGTGATGGATTGATGAGGGTGGAAGATTTGGGGATTGATGGTCCTGAGGACAAAGAGGAGGATGATGAGGTTAATATAGTGGATCCGAAAAATTTGGAAGAGCTTGGGGAGATAGCGGTGGATGGGATTCAAGACGGTTGAGATGAGAGATTGATTGTTGATGGGGTGGACGGCAATGATGTGTGAGTATTCTGCTCCGCGTGAACATAATCCTTGGTGCTTCTTGTAATGAAATATTAGGGTCACCACTATGAACATATAATTCAAGCCTATCAGCCATAGCCCAGTCTTGCTATACTGGCTATTACTATGATTCCACAACCTACCAGTAGATGTGGCTCTTGTGTCTATTCTCGGTTCAGAGCCCTTTTACTAAACTCTTGTACCTGATATTTCACTCTTGAAATAATGAAACTCGATACTATAGTCTCCACTTTCTTGCTAGAACATTGTTTTGCAATTTGGAAGCTTAAGAGCACTTTGATGCAGTTAAGCGACAGCATAGTCATCCACAAATGCACGTGTCTTATGATATACACAACTAGTCTTGGTGTAACCAGTTATCAACTTATCTTAAATGTCTAATATTGCATTTCATTTACGCAACATAGGATCTGGGATAGGATTCGGTGCCACCCAAAATCGACGGATTTGCTTCGAAAGTGGAGAGCTGCATGTTATGTTCAATATGGCTAGTGTTTCAAAAAACGAAGGAGGATGCATTTTGGGTGATCAACATGCATGCCTTGATCGCCACAATGATGTTCGTACATGTGGTGGCGCACCACCAGGCATTTGGTTCGCGAACACCTTTTCAGAAAGTGGGGAATGATCATATTTTGGGTTGTGTCCAATAATTCGTACAGAAGCCGTGTTCCAGCCTGCCCCAATCTGGTACCAGGCGGCCACGGATCCTTTGTAAAATGTAATAAATGCTGTAGATTTGAGGGGCCTGTAGCAAGCCATGAGCGTTCCATGAACGCGTGGGGGCATGTCCGATACGCTGAGCTCTGGGCTGCTTTCGCTTCATTACTTCACAGAGCGCTATTAGCGGAGGTTCGAGTTGTATACTTTTGTGAAAAATGTTCGAGAGAGCCTCAGCCTCAGCCTCGTCGCTTCTCGTGAAGCTGGCGACAACAGTCCCACTCTGTGTTCCCAAACATAAGCCGATGCTCTATTAGTGGAGATGAGAGTCTTGACAAAATTGCAGGTATTTCAAGAAGCGAGATTTTGTACGAGTGTTGCAAGGCGGTACTGAAATGACCACAGCGCAGCTTGAAGCGCTTTTCACTCCTTGTGGTACTAAAAATGCAATACGAATACCCAGCAACTCCGTTAGGCTACTACCAAAGAACACTAGCGCGTCGTTGCTTTGGGACATAGAAGAGCCAAGGACCAGCCTCAGCGCGTATGCCTTGTGGTGGCTGACAAACGAGCATGTTATCGCGTGAGGATGGGTAAAAGTATCCCTGAGACCTGCAGTACACTTGAACCTTCAAGTTCCGATGCTCAGCGCTGCGCTTTAATCAGGTCGAAAGTGTTCAGGTATACTCACTATTGCAGAGTCATCTTAACACTTGCATATCCAAGGATGAGCGAAAACAACACCCCACCGCTGAAAGCTGCACCGAGCTCTCACAAAACCCCATCAGTAAGATCAATAGGAAGCGTGCTTGTGCTGCCTCTTCGACGAAAGTTTTCCAGGCTCTTTCAACGAAAGGAGAAGATAAAACCAACACAGTCGGAAAGGTAAGTGCCTTCGGGACTCGCAGAATATACACAAGAGGCTGATTTCAGGAGTGTCATCGAGAGCATTCATTCTCCCGAGAATGGTTTCCTGCATGAGCTCATTCAATATTTAGACGACTGTTCTTACAACAACAAGATACCAACGTCGTTTCTTGGTTTCATCGTTACCGAGTGCACCCTTATTATAGAGACGAATGAGAACAACTTTCCTGGGTCGCAAAATGATCCTACTAGCGAAGTGGGTACAAGCAAAAGAGAGAATTCTGTGCATCATAGTCTTGGTGAGACGGGAAAAAACTATCAATCCATCCTACCCTTCGTCAGTGATCTACCGATCCGGTCTGGCAGCATCGCCTTTCATCGCAACACCAATGCTAAGACTGAATTCCACATCTCGCCGTCTAATAGGTCTGCATATCGCAAATTTCAGAGAGATCTCAAAGGACTACGTGCCATTGACATTCTTTTCCTGAAAAAGTTAGAGAAGATTAGTTTTCGTATAGACCTTGGAGATGGACTCACTTGCGCATCAATTCAAAAATCTTGTGTACCCGAATCTGGTCTTCTCACTATCCGTCACTTGGACAACCAAAGTACTACTCCAAAAGAACTGGAGCAATACTACGTCTTCTCCAACAACAGCGACCGTGTCGATGCAGCTCGAGAAAAGATAGAAGTTGCATTCCCCGTCCATGCAACGACGCAAACTCC